AATAAGTTTCAGGAATGAGACTACTAGATCCAGGGGTAAAATATTTATTTTAATGAATATTGCCAGATGGCTGTAACAATTTACATTTTCATTGGCAATGCATAAGAATACCCTCTTCTACACATTCCCAGCAGCAATCAGTATTACTTTTTACTTGTTCTTAGCTTGAGTGATATAAACTCATATCTTGTTACTATAATAACAAAGAGTTTGAACTCATCATTTTTTGGCTACTCAGATTTGCCCTGTGATGTGCCTATTTGTATCCTTCATCTTTTGTCTTGGATTGCTTTCTTTTTGTCCATTTGAAAAACTTCTTGTAATATTATAACAGCAGTCCTTAATCTGCTATATGCATTGTAAATTTTTCCCAAAATCTATTGGCTTTTTTAAGTTAATGGACTTTTTTGAGTTTAGGTTTATAGAAAAACCAAGCAGAAAGAGTTCCCTACACACCCTCAGCGTCCCTGCCCCCCAGTTTCCTCTATTATTAACAATGTATTTTTGTGTATATTGGTCACAATGGATGAGCCAATATTGATACATTGTTATTAACTAAAGTCCATAGCTCATATTAGAGTTCACACCTTGTGCTATATATTCTATGGCTTTTGACATATAAATATACAATGGATTATGACATGTACCTACCATTGTAGCATACAGAATAGTTTCACTTCCCTAAAAGTCCTCTGTGCTCTATTCACCCCTTACTCCCTTCCCCAGAACCCTAGGCCACCACTGATCATTTTTACTGTCTCCATAGTTTTGTCTTTTCCAGAATGCCATACAGTTAGAATCATACCATAGGCAGCCTTTCCAGATTGGCTTCTTTCACTTAGCAATATGCACTCAAGGTTTAAGGTTTCTCCCTGTCTTTCATGGCTTAATAGCTTATTTTTATCACTGGATATTAATCCACTATATGAATGTACCAGGTTGTTTAACCATTCACCTTTTTAAGGACACCTTGGTTACTTCCAGGTTTTGGCAATTATGAATAAAGCTGTCATAAATATCCAAGTGTAAGTTTTTGTGTGGATATAAATTCTTTCTTTCCTTCTTTGAGACAGAGTCTCACTTTGTTGCCCTCATTAGAGTGCTATAGTGTCATAGCTCACAGCAACTTCAAACTCCTGGGGCTCAAACAATCCTCTTCCCTCAGCTTCCTGAGTAGCTGGGACTGTAGGCAACTGTCACAACACCCAGCTATTTTTTTAGAGATGGGGTCTCACTTTAGCTCAGGCTGGTCTCAAACTCCTGAGCTCAGGGTGATCCACCCTCCTCGGCTTCCTAGAGTGCTAGGATTACAGGTGTAAGCCATCCAGTGCAGCCAACATAAATTCTTTAACTCATTGACCAATGTCAAGTTTCTGCTCATCTCCAATTAAGATCTCTTGAGAATCCATGCATTCTAATCCTTACCTCTGGGCACTGCAAAAGAGTCCCCAGGTCGGTATAGAGTTCAGTACCAGCTTCTTCAATTAGAAATGCAAAAAAGCCTGAGGTCTACCCTGAACCCTTTAGGCTCCAATCGCCAGCTGACCCCACTAGCTTCTTGCTTGAGAAAAGTTAGGGCGTCTTGG